TAGGCCTCATATGCAATTGCAAGTTAATTGCACCAATGTAGGTACAATGAAAGTAAAATGAGTTGGCTTACAAAAATGGTGTTGTGTAAAAAAATTCACAAATGCAATTGCACTAATGGAGATGCTCTAACAGTTTAACATGAATTTGAAATTTTAAGGGGGCCATCACCTCCTGCCATTGCCAACAAGTTGGCTCTGTGCCTCTGTCCCTGCTGGTGTATGTGACTTTTTTTTTAATTTATAGTTACATGTATTGACTATATTTCATTGTTGTTTTGGGTTTGAATCATCCAAGATCCATATGTATTTTTTTCCTAATATAATAATTTATTTAATTTCAAATAAATAATTATTCAATCTCATTATTTTAACGGATAATATTGAGCGTCGGGATTGTTTCTTTCACTTTTTTATTTCAGTTTTATCCCCTCATTTCTATTTCCCACAATCTAAATCGTCTAATACGGTTTCATCAATTAGTTAAAGAAATATAGACATATTTAACCTTCGCCTTATTTTTGTAAGTGTTTTTCTAATTTAAAATCTGAAATCGATCCAGACACCTCTAAAATTCCAATTTTTGAAAGTTTTAAAAAGTGTTTTTAAGATAAAAACATAAATTTCAATTTCTAACTTTTGCAAAAAGTGTTTTGAAAATTACATGATGTTGTTTATCATTTTTTTTTTGAAAAATAAAAATTCACATTTATCATATTTAAATTTAATAAATTAGTAATTAATATTATTCAATATAAAATAAATACAAGAATTTTCATTTGTATTATCTTTTATAAAATTAAATTAATCATTTTACAATGTTACTGATACTTAAAAAAATACTTCTAATAGTTTATCAGCTAAACAAATATTCTTAAATATTTTTTTTCTAAGAACTCCAAATAGAAGCTAATTTTGCTAAAACTACAGGCAAAACCAAACCGGCTCTTATATTCTTATATACAAAACCTGATTTTCCCCCCAACAATTTCAGCAATGAGATTGGTCAATCTCATGACCCATGTACAAACACACACAAGACACAACATCTATCTACGTATTATTGTGATATCTCTCGTTATCTAACTAGCACCACAAATTTCATTTTTGGTTCTTATGGTAACGCAACGCAGAAGGACAGATAAAAACAAGAAGATAAGGTACCGGATACAAACAAGAAACATACACCCAAATCCGATCCATCTCTTCTCTAGTGAGTGGTCGTAAATACGGCAACGTAACTCTTTGTTCCATAGAGAACTTACCTTGAAACCGCTCAGGGGAGCGTCGTAATGAACTGGGTGGTTCACCCTCTCCATGATGATTTCACGCAGATGCTGCGCATAAACGCTCATGAAATCCACTCTCGTCGGCGGCAGGTTGAGCAACGTCGAAACTTTCACCAGCCGGTTGGAGTACTTCCTCGCCGCATTCTCGCATATCTCCTCCACCTCCGACGACCGCAACCCCCCTCTCCTCGTAAAAAACTTGAGCCCGTTTCGCGTGTACGGCAAGTGTGACGCCGTCATCTATATATATAATGCAAAACATGCAATAATAATCTAAATTCACGTACGTACCATAATGGAACTCAACTAACGATCAATAATTAATTAATGTGTTGTTTTGAGATCGACTTCAACGTAACGTACCATAATGGAAGCGTGGAAAGCAAAAGGAGGCAACAGAGTGCTCATGAAACAAGCGGGAGTCGTAGCGAGTCCCATATCGTAGACCATGCAACCTGCCCGCGACAGCCCGGAAAACACCGCCACGCTCAATGCTCCTCCGGTCACCCTCGGGTCCCTGCCCAAAGAGACCTTCACCGTACTATTGTTATCACCCTCTACGCCCTTTCCGACGACCCACTCCCCAAAGCTCTCCGATATGGCTTCCACCGCCGGCGGGGTTAGGTCGACGGTCCGGCCCTTCTCTCCCTCCAGCGCGACCCCTCGAACGTCCGACCCGTTCTGCAGCCGCCGGATCTTGTCCGCTTCTTCTTCATGCACGCTCAAAAACTGCTGCTGCTGCTGCTGCAACTCGGCGGTGCATGATAACTTACGGTGACGACGAGGCCGAAGTTGTTTGCCCCACGATGATGTTGAGGACGAGTTTCTACTGGGATCTCTGTAGCTTGGGTTGCCATGGTCGATGTATCTGTGTTGTTTGATGGAGATTGAACCAGTAGTACTGTTGGTGCTGGAAGCCGCCATCATGTTGAACTTCCAATAATGGTATGGTGGAGTAAAGGGTTAACTTTTGTAAGTTAATAATCATGCATGTACATTCTTATTTATACTGCGTTTTCGACTTTATAGGATCTTTTAGCTTCGTTTCACGGCACATAAAACACAAAAATATCTAGGCAGCATTTTATGGTTTTTGTGGTCTGCATCACTCTTCTTTCTCAACAATTATTCATCATCTCTCGTTTTCCTTTTTGGAGTTTTCTTGCAAAAAGATCTTAATAATGTACACCAGGCATGAAGAGCCCACTCGATATAATAGTTGGTCCGATCAACACAGCAAACGTTATAATTTATAAACATAACTTATATCACGTCAATCATAAACTAATTTCTCCCACTAATTTGAGCTATTGTGAAAAGTGCATGTAGCGATAGCTAACTACTTTCTTATAAATCGTATTGGAAACAGGCCAATATTGAGATAGAGAAAGAATGAATGTCATAAGATCTGTGACTGGTTTAACATGGAAGTCAAATCCTTCATGTTGATGGAACTCTCTGGCCATTGTGCAACAAAGCAGCTTTACCGGTTTCAATTGAACCATCCGGATTCATTGGACATGGGAATCCAATGAAAGGCGACAACATTCTCATCGTATCGATGAGGAATCATGGTTCAAGCCCAATCTTCAACAAGGCCTGATATTCAATCAGAAATGCCTCGGCCCACTCCGAATATTGAAGAGTCTTTTTTTACATTTGATCCCAGGATAAATACTTGTTCAAAAATAAATCCAGATTCACAGGTTGTGTTTTCTCTATTCCTTTTCTTGCTTACGAACAGGGTCAATAACCCTAAGGGTTATAACTTTGCATGCCTAAATCCGGCCCCTTCTTCTTAAGTGACCACCAGATCTAAGAGTTGTCAATTAACTTGTGTATAAAATAAATCTGCTATTGCCATTGGGTTGCCTTACAACCCACGCTTCCCTGTCTCCTGTGGTTCCGAATTCTTATTCATGTTGCAAGACTCTTGCTCCTTTGTACTCTAGCTAACACAATAGACAGAAGGTAAAAGAAAAGAACACTCCCTTACCCTAATCGCAGAAGGTTGATTAGGGTTTCCCAAAATTTTCGAGACCCCGTTAGGAAACTGGCCAAGGGAAACTCTCACTCGACAAATAAAACCTAATTCTTACTCACAAGGGGGCAGAGTACTAAAGGAAAAACTAGAGAAACAAAGCTAAGCAATCCAATCACCATGAAGAAACACACCAGTCCTAATCCTGCCCGAGAGAGAAGACTAGAAATCTTAGCGCTTACGAAGAAAACCTAGGCATAGGAGAGATTTTGATACCTAAGGGTCTTGCAATAGCACATGATCAGCTAAAAGGTGAACGTTCACTGATATTGTTTTCCGGCGAGGAAAAACTGGTGTTTGAACTCAATAAATGCACCTTGACTTCTTGAACAACGATTAATAATACGGTTCACTCCTCTCCGAACAATGTTCGAACGAGGGTGTTTGATGTTTTTTTATGGTTTTTTGGGAACAAGCTACGTTACTCTACTCCTATGGAGGTTCAGTGAGAGCTCCGAAAAACTAAAAGGCAAGTTGCAGAGAAAAGATAAATTTTGACATGTGTTGTCAAATGTTTGGTTGTGGAACCCTTTTCCCGTTTTCGCTTCTCCTATTTATAGCCACTAGGAGTAACTGCCTTGGTAACCACCTTGGTAACCGTTGTCTTGGTCTTCACCTCCATTGCCTTTGAGCTCCTTGGCCCGTCTTGGGGTTGGTGGGTGCTTGATGGCCTTGATGCTGGATCGGGTTGGTATTGAGCCTTGTCGTCTTGCTTGGCTGCCAAGCTTGACACCCTAGTGCTAGGACCCCCTTGGACGACGTCATGCATGACCCCCCTTGTGTTATGGGTCTCAACACTTAGCCAATTTTCGCCTTCCTTGCACGGTGTCATGCTTGACCCCCTTTGTGCTTGACCCCCTTGGATGGTGTCATGCATGACCCCTCTTGTGCTGTGGGTCTCAACACTTAGCCAAATTTTGGCTTTCTTCCCCATCATGGTCTAGTGACTTGCGTTGCCCTTCTCCCCTTGCCACACGCTTTGATACCTGGTAGGCGGCTATACCCCCTTCGATGGTATCATGCTTGACCCCCCTTGCACGGTGTCATGCTTGACCCCCCTTGTGCTGTGGGTCTCAACACTTAGCCAATTTTCGCCTTCCTTGCACGGTATCATGCTTGACCCCCTTTGTGCTTGACCCCCCTTGCATGGTGTCATGCTTGACCCCCCTTGTGCTATGGGTCTCAACACTTAGCCGATTTTCGCCTTCTTTCCCTCACGGTCTAGGCGATGACCCCTTTGCATGACATCATTCTTGACCCCCCTGGGATGATGTCATGCTTGACCCCCCTTGTACGAGACCCCCTTGGACGATGTCATGCATGACCCCCCTTGTGATGTGGGTCTCAACACTTAGCCAAATTTTGGCTTTCTTCGCCCCATCATGTCTAGGGGTAATTACCCGCAAGGTAGGTAGGCGAATGGTTGATCGAAAATTTGGCTAAGTATGATGGGGTGCCCACTTGGGTGGCTGATGTTGAAAGGTGTCAACGCTTGACATGGTATGAAGCCCAAAATTCTATTATTTAGGCCTAACCTAAACCAATTTAATTAACATGGTTGAATTGGCCTTATAAATCATTACCACTCCTTGAAAATAATTAATGTGGTATTGAGTGATTTTTTTAGTGGTAAACATATATATCTACAGTTAAGATAAGAATGGTAGGCACAAAATTCTCCTATCCAAAACTCAAGCTAAACGAGGGAAGAAACTATTTCATTTAATCCAACACTATTGTCTATTACTATTAACTAGCGCTGCAGCACTATTGAAGAATTATTTTAGCGAGGACAAGAACCATTGGCTGCAGAGATGCAGCTGCCATGCGGCATGCGCTTGAACTCTGCTGATGCGGACTTACTGGGCCCAATGGGCTGGAGTCCACGATAAAAGCTCCACAAGAAAGCCCAGATAGAAGACCGGTCCAGTATAATTTCACAGCGTTACGTTAGCTATCCGCCCAACCAGTATATGTAGGAGATTGGGGATTAGGGCAAAGCGCAATCGGAATCACAATAGAAATCGAAGGCTTCGTGCGGATTACGATGAACGCAGTTGGGAAATCCTCGAAGCCGGCGGCCGTTACGAAGAAGACACCGGCGGCTGAGACGGATAAGAACTGGAAAGGTAAGAACCTTTACCTGAAGTACAAGTACGGTAGTTGGATTTGGGGGTTTAAGGCTTTCGAGGATAAGCCAGCGGTTGTCCGTGAACTGGATGGGCATGAGGTTTTAGCACCAAAGGTTGTCTGTGAACAAAATTTCCTCGATGTCGATCGCGGTTTCCCAATTGGGAACGCCTTCTTCAAGTTCAATGGTAAAGCATACTTGGTCGGTGGGGAAACTGCAGGGGGCAAACCTTGGGGGAAAGGTATTTGGGGATTACCTTATCAGCTCCTCAAGTCGAGCAAGAAATCGAGTGACAAATTCTACGAATTCAATCCCGATACCAACACCCTCCACCAGCTCGATGATCTTCCTCTGCCTCTCCCTATGCCGTCTCCAATAGTCGCAGAGATCAAGGGCAATGTGTACGTCCTTTACGGAGATCACTGCTGCTTGAGAAGGAACGGGTCCCCTGAAGACCCTAGAAACTGCTTCCAGGTTTTGGCATTGGATGAAGATGGCAACCCCAGTTGGAAGTCACTTCCTGTCCCACCCTTTTACGACGAGGGCACCTGCTCTCACTACTTCAAGAATGTGGTGGGGGTCGTCGGCCACAAGCAGTATGTCGGAGTGGGCAGCAAAGTGTATGCCTTTGATGTTGACTCTGTGGAATGGAAACAGGACATTCTTCCGTTCCCTTCAGATGCCAAAACATTGTCGTCAAGGTTGATGAAGGAGGGCAATGAGGGTGAGAAACACTGCTGTTTCGTCGTCGTTTATGCAGAGATTACTGCGGCCAATCTAAATAGGGTTGGTCTATATGTTGCATTGGTGCACTGCGAGGATGGTAGATTGTTGCACGAACAGCGTATCCCTGAAGCATTGCCCTTTAATAAGCCTTGTACTCTTGGTGATTACCAAGTGGTTGAACTGGAGCAGGATGGTGGTGCTGCTGCTGCTGGTCACTTGTGCAGCAGTAACCCATTTTGTTTTGTGTATACCACAGGTGATGGTGGTCTTGTAGGGCTTTCAGTTTTGAGGATCTCTTTAGCGGCGGCTCCTCCAGATGTGGAGGAGGGCACGATGCATTCTTTTCGGTGGGGAGCTGATCTCCATGTCTTGAAGTTCGAAATTCCTGAGAAGCGTCTGTATGAAAAACCAAAATTGGTGAACGACTTGTACACTGGCAGTTTTGATGCCGTCTTCCTCGAAGCAGCAGGGTAACCTGTTTTTACAGCCGAACCACTTTTGTTCCCCTTCTTTCGTTTATATTGGCGTCGCTTTCCTACCAGTGTGTGATTTTAGCTGTCCGGCATCACTCCTTGTTCACAATGTCATCACCAATCTTCCAATGGCAGCCAATTGCTACGTGTTTCGGTTCTTTTTCTAGATTGCAATGTCATCACTCCTTAATTTGCCCGAACAACACTTCTACCTTCTCAACTGCGAGTAGGTGGTTTCGTTCTTCTAGCTACTTCTCTAACACAAAACGACAAGTGCATCCAATCACATTGAATCCCAAAATTGGCCGCCAATTCCCCAACTTTCAAAATCAACAAGCCAATTGAGAAAAGAAGCACAAAAATATAAGTGTGAGAAATCACCATGTGGAAGCAAAGGAAAGTTGAATTCGATCAAAAATAAAAGAGGGATCTTTTTCAAGTCTTGCAAATAGTGGTAAAGGGCTAGTTTGTCAAGAGAAAAAGAGGGATCTTCTCCAGAGGCATAGGATCTGAGAGAGAGGCTGAAAAGAGCAGAGCTCGGGTTGAACTCTGGCGGTTTTACAGTTGTGTCTTACATTGTAATCGTGTCCTTTAATCATAAAATCTAGTGTCTCTCGGTAGTAGTAGGTACTATTACCGAGACGAGGACGTAGCCATTTTGGTGAACCTCGTTAAATTGCTGTGTTCTTCTTTTCCAGCTCTCGATTTCTGATCTCTGCATCTCAACTCTGTTTCTGCTTCTTCCTCTGGAAATCAGGAAGAACAGGAAGTGGGTTTCGGTCAAAACAGCAAAGCTTGCAAGCCCAATTCTTATCTCATTTTTAACGTTCTTTACTTTTGGGCTTTCTGGTTTGTTTAGGCCCAAAGTCTTGGAAGGAGAAGACCAGAAGTACTTCGTATTCTGTCTGTCTCTCCTTCTCCATTCGACTACTCCTTGTTTCCCCAATTTCTCAAAATCCCTAATCGACCTTCAACTGGTAATTCCATTTCCATGAACACACCGTCCAATGAATTATAGATAACCTGAATTATAGATAACCTGTTTCAAAATTGAGATATGATCCAAATTGATTTTTAACTATAATAAAATTATAATATATTATAATTATTTGAAATGTTATATATTTCTAACTTTGTTTAAAATAAAATTGTCTATTATGCCTTTAATTTTCGTATTCTTCATGGGACAATTTCAATTGTTATCATGGCTATTCCATTAAAATTTTATTGTATATCTTTCTAATAAAAATAGTATTTTCGAAAGACAAACAATACTTTAACAAACAATACAAATATTTAATGTATATATACACGAGAATATTAATCAATGGCTAATACTAATATTAATTAATATAATTAAACTCATTATCATACTCATAATCAATTAATCATGCACGGCAAATACAACCTACAATATACGATCGGGTTAACTAAAAGATCTGACTGGGGACCCCTAATAATTGGAGTTCCTGTGCCGGAAGGCTGCATGGCACACCCTCTTGGTGTCAAGAACCAGTTGATCCCAATAACTCGAGTTGTTGGGAGAGGTTCTATAATGAATCTTATACCATTCACTAACACTTGGTCGGGCCTGTCCTTGAAGAAGAACAGACGGAAGATAACGGGGTTGGTTTTGGAAGGAACGAGAGAATATCATTTGTGCCAAAAAAATGTGAAACATATAGCTAATAGTCGCATCTAGCTACAAAACGTAGCCGCTTTTCTCGAGATAAATGGTCGCTAAACCTTATTTTATTTTTCTTCCATTTTTTTAGTTTTTTAATTATACTTAATTGATGTTATGCGATCAGGATAAATGGTCACTGAACTTTTAAGGGCTAATACTACTGGGAAACCCGAACTATTAACTTTGTGTCATTTGTGTCCTAAAGTATTCGATATGATATTTGTGTCCTAAACTATTTTTCCGTTAGAGTTGACTAGCGTTGACCGTTAGTTTTTAACAGAAAGTCTAATCATCACTTATGTGGCATCTGACGTGGAACTTTTATTATTATTTATTTATTTTTCCTATTAGTTTTATTAATATGGGAAAGAAGAGCTACTTAGCGATGAAGATCGACGGAGGAAGCAATAGCAGCTTCGGCAGAGACTTAATTGCCGCTATGTAACCCCAAGCCCCAAATTTCCCCTTGTGCTTCCTTTGCTTTCCTTTCCCCCCTATGTAACCCTAAATCCCCGCCTTCTTCTTCTCCTTCCCCTGGTTTTTCTTCGATTCAAGAAAATCCAGAGACCTGAGAGCGGTTATATTACTCCGGAAAGAATAGGGGTGGCTCCGCGAGGACCGCGACGAGTGCGACTCCGATCGTACTGGAGGAGACGGTGGAAGACAACGATGCGACGGCGGCAGAACGCTGCAGTGAAATAATGGCGGCCACATATTTTTCTGGGTTGGGAAAATCATTGAGAGGGAAACGAATAGTGAGTAAAAGAATTTAAAACTCGACAGCAATCGTCGCCGAACAAGCAATTGTCTGTGGTTTTCTTTCTGAAAACAAAAACCCACCAACGCAACTGCTTCTTCAATTGACAGAGACCCTCCCACTAGCTGCTTCTTTGATTGACAGAGGAACCGCCGAGCCGGTCCCCTTCTCCGAAATCTTCTCCGTCGGGAATCGAGAATCGCCACTGTCGAAAGCAAGCTGGCCTTTCATCGCTCGAAATCAGGCTAGATCCAGGAGGAAAACGAAACAAGAAAGCGGAAAATGGAATGGGAAATTGACGCGATGTAGAGATGAGGATATGTGGCTAAAAATAATTTTAATTGTTAATTTCAATTGTTAAATTTTTATTTTTTATTTTGTATTTTAATTGTTAATTTTAATTGAAAATAACAACATGATGTGGCAGCTGACATGGCGCATACGTGGCTGCCACATATGTGCCATGTAATCAACAGTCAACATATTATGGTTGACCGTTTGGTCAACCGTTATCTATAACGGTCAACGAAATTGTCAGGATGTAAATGACACACAACTATCATACGTCAGGACACAAATATTATATCGAATACTTTAGGACACAAATGACACAACTTTAATAGTTCGGGTTTTCTAGTGGTATTAGCCCAACTTTTAATCATTTGCGTCCACGATGCATGGCACTGAATAAAAAACAATGTCTTGTCTTCCCGCCTTCCAGAAGTAAGCCTGACGAATTTCATTTTCCAATATTTGATGATCTGCAACCACTCTTATGTTATGGTCGCGGATAGTTATAATTTCTGCAACCATTTGTTTAAATGGTCGCTAGAATGGTCGCAATAGCCTCTTTCTTGTAGTGAGACATTCCTCACACCAGCAGTGGCGGAGCCACTTGAAGAGGAGGGGGTGCTTGCACCCCCTTGGATTTGGAGAAAAAATTCCTGAGTAGGGGTATATATACAAATTCGAATCAGTGACCATTCAGTTGCAAGAAGAATTTCTTACCATCTCGACCGAGTGAGTTTTGTTATGCAATCCACTTTCGTCTTTATTTATAGTAATATATTGTTGTCTTTTGTTTAAACAAAGATGAAAGTGAAGAAGTACCAAATGAAGTTCACTTGTTTGTTTCACAAAATCAATTTTAAGGTACTTCTGAGTTCTAATTTGTAATATTTGATGAATGGAAGTGTTGACTTGTATGTACTGAACTTATTTGTTTGACGTTGTAACCGGTGTACGTGAAACTATTTTAATGTAATTGTATGAATCTATCTACAGTATTGCGTTGTTGACTTTTTGTTTCATTGAAAATTGACTTTTCTATTGTATAGATGATTTTTTATAATATGATAAAAACACCCCTTAATTAATTTTCTGGCTCCGCCATTGCACGTATACCAACATCTAGAGATGGAAACTTTGCCCATACCCATGGGTTTCTTATTATCCAACCCAATTGGGTTGGGTATGAAATCCAAATAGATGGTTATGGGTAGAGTTTGATGGGTTTGTACCCATACCCATTTACTTTGGGTTGAGTTGGGTTTATATCAAATGGATTTGGGTTTGTATCCATGCCCAAATACAAATTACAGTTTGGTACCCAAACTTTAATAGATATGCATATTTAGTACCTAAATTTAATTTTTTTGCATATAAGTCCTCAAAATATCGATGGAAAATTACGTTTTGGTACCTAAATTTTTTTGGTCTTACGTTTTGGTACTTAAACTTTTCAAGTTTTACAAATAGTAAGGACTCAAGTACTCAAGTCTTACATTTTCAAGTTTTAATTAATACCCGAGCTAGTAAGGACTCAAGTTCCATCAAAATATGCCAGGAACAGTGCCTAGTTTAAATATATTATGACAAGACATAGAAAAATTTGTCATAATAAAGTAAAGTTGTTTCGCCGAGATAGTTTTGACGAACGTTATGACAATTTTTTTTTGTCATGATAAAGGTATTATGGCGAAAGGTGATCCTATTATGACAAATTATTGTTGTTACAATAGATAACAATTGTTGTAGTACCGGAAAGTTTATAATCGAACAATCTAGGAAAAACTGGCCATCATAATTTTCAGTTGTCAATAAGCTTTACTATATAAGTTTAGAATTTCACAATTTATTATAGAAAATATTAGTCGCCACAAAGCGTTTACCATTTAATAGTACACAAATTATTATTTCAAGAACTACTTAAAATTGGTTCGCTCGCATCCATCAGCAGGGCAAGGGCTGTGAAAATAGCCCAGACCGTTTAAAAAACTGTGGACCAAATCAAACTGCACAGTTTGATCCGGTCTAGTCCATGATCTGTATTATATGAAGTTTTGATCTCTTATCTGGTATGGTTTAGATTGCGATTTACCAGATCAAACCGTAGATCTAGCCAATTTCCCAATACATGTTAGTATCCCACTCGACCACCATACCAACTCCTCCAACAAGATTCAAGTCTCAACATAAATTGGTCCCCGGGTATGAGAATCCTGGCGTCGCCCCCGTCCATCAGTGGCTCGTAACTAACGTCGGGAATAATAAGCCTTCTCCAGTGTGGTAGACCGACACACTGCTGCTCTTTTTATCTCTAGCTCCCGGACAAATTCGGTGTTCAGTAGCCTCCGCATACTGGCGGCGTCGACCTTTCCACCTGCACGTACGTAGGCACAAATTTATGAAACGCAGTCCGATTGAGGAAATCATCTCATCCAATTCTCTCCCAGCAGGTGGTGATGCTGGGAAATCATTTCATCTGTACGTAAGTACCTGCAGGTGGTGATGCTGCCGGCGCCGCAACGTGATTCTTTGCCGGTGGATGCTTCTTCTCCTTTGTTGATGAATGTATTGCTTCTACTACCTGGTTCACAATTCTTTCTACCGTCTCTGCTTCAGAACTGCGGGGCATCATGTATTTAGTTTCAGTGATGTTAGAAATCGTGATTTTATCAGATTACATTTTACCATTATTAATATTATATGATCTTACCATTATGACAAAAATTCATATGTCAATCTTATTTATTATCACTATCTTACATTTCCTATTCTCATCTCATCACTAACATATCATGATATTGTAGTAATAATATCATGATCGCGTGAAAATAATTTTATATTCCAAACAAATCAATTTTTGTGAAGCACGAAAAGATGTATAAGACCATATTAAAACGAATAAGAAATGGTCCGTCCAACCTTTAGAAAATTGAAAAAACCTCTTAACTAATGACATGTTACTTCCTTTTGTCGTCAAATGCTCGAAAGTAAAAGGAAGAAAAGTGGTCAATAATTGGTTTTCTTTAGAGCGACTTGGGTTAGTAATCAATCTGACTGTATATATATATATATATATAAAATTTATCATTAAATTTAACGTAAACAAACACACGTGCACAGTATGCAAAATTTTAATTATCCAACATTGCAATGCAGATTATATGACCTGGAACACCTGCTATAAAATGTTATATATATTTGAGTATGATAACCTGGAATTGGGCAACAAATTAGGGATTTTTTGAATGAGTAATTTGCTTATGAGGGATCGCTGAGAAAATTCAGCTAAAATTTCTCTAATAAAAGAAAAATCCCGATAATTTGAATTGGGGTAGTTTGGAGAAACCAGGGATTTATTTATACACAAATAACTCAATTAAGAAACCAGGAAATTAATATAAGGAAATTGAAACAAATCACTTGTTTGTTAACGAGTTAGGAATTGTGCATTGAAGAATTTAATTTTAATTAAATTTATTACAATTCCTCTGCATCGTCTTCTTCCTCCCGTTTTGAAGTGAAGCCATTGGACTACAACTCGAGGATCGATTGCTTCTCCGTGAACTGGTTGAACTGAAGCGATATGAACGATGACATTCGCAACTTCTCGGCTCCCCAGTTCAAAAAATCGCTCCCCAAAATGAAAATGATAGTGGAATACGATAGGTTTTTTGCCCCCCAATCGGAAATAGAACACCGTGGCGGCGGTGACTCCCTATTTAACGATGGAAGCTCTCAACGGCGACTCTCGATCTTCGAGACGACAACTCCCAATCCAAAATCAAAGTTACGCAACGACAACCCGCAATACAAAACATAATTGCTCATTGGAAAAAGGTTATTATGGATCTTATACCTCTCTATAACTCGCCCCCTCAAACGAAAGTAAACTCATGGGCTTGATGTTTTGTACAGGCCCACCATATTAGAGAGTGGTAACAGGGCCGGTCAAGAGGGTGTGCTGGCCCGCCCTCCGGCACAGGGCTTCAGAATATTAGGGGCCTCTATTTAGATTCGTTAGTTACCGATCGTATATTGTAGGTTGTATTTTTAGTGTATGATTGATTATGAGTATGATGATGTGTTTAATAGATAATTTTAGCTATAATAACAATTGAAAAGGATCTCATGGAGAATACGAAAATCTGAAAAATAATAATATCTGGGGATGATCGGGAAGAATATGGTAAGTTCGCTCTACACTGTCCCTTAGATTGGGATAATTTTAATTTAAACAATATAGAAAGATATTACATTTGAATAATGTTATTATAATCATTTTAGTTTTATTATAGTTAAAGGTCGATTTGGACCACGTCTAGATTTTGAAATAGGGCTTCCACGATCTAGTAGACAACCCTGCACCCACCTCTCGATCAATTTAGACTATTTTCATTTCTCCATTAAATTTTTGCGCAATATCCATTTTCTCTTCCTTCCGGATTTACTTTCCTCCCTACTAGGACTGGGAATTCGGTCTTGGTTTCTTGGTCAAACTGGAAACGAGATCGTTTATTCCTGATGTAATCTTTTTCTGAACTTAAGTATTGTTTTACAATTATTTACTAATTTTTAATTTTGATAAATTTATGGTAAAAAAATTAGGGCCACATTTTAAATTTTCGAACAGGGCCTCCAAATATCATGGGACGGCCCTGAGTGGTAAGATCCATAATAACCTTCGCCCAACAAATCGAGTTATTGGTGGGTTTGTGCAAACTTCAAACTCGTGAGTTGGCTTTCATTTGAGGGGGCGTGTTAGAGAGTGGTATACGATCCGTAGTAACCTTCTCCCAACAACTCGAGTTATTAGTACCAACTGGTTATGACAAGTCTGTATATAACGTAATTCCATAGTTGGTTTTTCCTTGAGGTCATGTGTTCAAGTCATCACGACCCCCAATATTAATCGTTGTTTTTCAAGCACATAGTATGGTGGACCTGTGCAAAGTTCAAGTCCATGAGTCCACTTTCGTTTGACGGGGCGTGTAAAGAGTGGTTTAGTACCATACATGGGCATCTTCCAACAACTCGAGTTATTGGGACCAATTGGACACACCATACTTCTGATTTAGTCAACTATTAATATTGGGGGTCGTGGAGATTCGAACACACCACTTGGCCAAACCAGTTCTAATACCATGTCATAAACCAGTTGATCCCGATAACTCGGTAATAGGACCGCACGTTGGGTCGCACGCTAGCGGGCAGTGTACACAGGGCCCGATAGAGAAGAGGAGAGGGTCTGGTGATCCGAATTCACCGGCGCAGGGGAACAGTTTGAGTTGGAACGAGAATCGCCTGGTCCATTTCGACAAAAGCTGGCTTAATTGGAATTTTCGAAGTACAATGGAGGCGAGGATCGGTTCTATTGATTCACGCGAGTGGAACAATTTTTGAAATTCCAGTAGATGCCATAAGAGCATAAGTTGCTACTCGCATTTTATTATTTGGTGGGAGATGCCAATCAGTGGTGGCAATGGGTGGACCGCACCTATATTACGAATGGGATGGTGATGACATGGGCACGATTTCATGAGGATTTATGGGCTAGGTTTGGTCTAGCGGAGATTACATCGGGTCATGAAGCTCTAGCTAAGATCAAGCAAACCCCTAAGCTATTACCTCTTAGCTTTTGAGAGGTTGGGCAATCAATGCTAGGGTGGACGGAAGAAGCGTAGTGGGCTCATTTAATGGTGGGCTTAAATATGAAAATTTCGACGCCATTCGCATGTTCAAGCCTAAAATAGTGAGAGAGGTATCTGAATTGCCAAAATGAAGAATGAGGAGCTGGGGAAGCAACTTGGAGCGTCGTGGAATCCACCAAAGGCCTAAAGGAGACGAGGGATGAGGTAGCACAGGCACAACTTCAAGCAGCACCACCGCGCATCCCCAACGCACGAAGAATCTCAACGGGCTCAAGGTCTTTGTTTCCACTGCAATGAGTGATTCACGAATGGCCACCGTTGTGCCAATAAGAACATGTAATCATGATTGGGTTTTACACCGACGAAGAGGAATGTCAATTCATCCACGATGATGACGAACCTTGAGTGTAAGGTTTGCTAAGGGGCGAGGATTGTTATGAGAACTGGGCCATCCATCACAAGGGAGTATGCATATAGCAGCGATTTATTAGCAGGGGTTCCTATACATATTGCCACGATTATAAAATTTGTTTACATCCTCTATCGTTTTGTAATGTTATGAGTTGAATAATTTGTATTTATTGGGTTGTAACACAACTTCTATCGGTTTGTATTGTTAGTAGTAGTATTTTGTACTTTTAGTATGTTTTGTATAGAATGTTATTCTGATTTGTAAAACTTTTAATCAGGTTTGTGTACTTTGTATTATTGGTATATATAATTTTATATGATATGGTTTGTACACTTTGTAATATTTGTATACATTTATCACATGATTTGTATATTTTTATAATATGGTTTGTATACTTTTATTATCTGTATTGTATAATTTGTAATATTAATGCATAAGTTTATTATATGGTTTGTATACTTTTTCTCGCATTAGTTTGTATATTATTTATTGTCAGTTTGTATACTTTTATAGTTGTTTTTGGATAGTCTATGTTGATTTGTATACCATTTGTTATTGGTTTGTTCATTTTTATCTTTTGGTTTGTATACTATTGTTCATTTTTATATTTTGGTTTGTATACTATGTATACCTTGTAATATTAGCTTGTAAATTTTTAATGCTATAATCGTACACTTTTATATTATGATTTGTATACCATCTACATTTATTCATACATTTTTATTTTATGGTTTGTATACTTTGTATTTATAGTGTGTATACTTTTATGATATGATTTGTATACTTTGCGATGATACTTTATATTATTTTTCTAGTTAAAAAATATAAGATAAAAGACAAAAGAATGACCGTTGAAAAAAAAAATCAAAAGGGACATCTAAAAAGTGATGGATCGAAACAATAGGGTAGCTCACTCGGTAGGTAGAAAAGCGCTCTCCTTGTATCTGACTGTGAGTCGCTTCTTTGATTTTCATGCCTGACTGGTTTTCAGGATGTAACTATCTATTTGTTTGGATCAATATATTATATTTTTTGACAAAAAAAAAGTGATGAATCGGAGAGGAAAAAAGAGAACGCACAAAGTCCGAAAAAGAATTAATTTTTATAATACTATAGTTATGAGTTATCCTCTTACTAATTAAATAATATTGGTTATATTTTAACCATAAGTTTTGTATGTAATTAATTTGACGTTGCCTGCGTTGAATCTTAAACCTAAGATCAAATATAAACTCCAGAATCTGATGATTATTCCTGGCCCTAGCTAGTTGCTGCCAACTAAACCTTTGACGAAGACCCACTACCCGCGGCAACAACTGTCTTTTGTTTTATTATAGTAACTATTTCATAAACTATATATTATTACGACTAAGAAACTTCGTCAATTTAAACAATCTGCTTTTTTAATTTACTTATTCAAATGGTACAATACAGCTGAACCGATTAGCGTGGTACTACAAATCTGACGAGATAATAATGAAAACTCATGATTAGTAGAGTTAATTGGGTCAGTATTCAGTCCCCAGCTCAACGTAACAAAGTTGTTTTCTTTTTCCCAATCAATATGAATTATGTTGAGTCCAGCAATATCTGCTAAAGAATTGGGTTACCCTGTCAAGCTACAAAGGAACGGATCACGTCAGTAACTCTATGATCAGTAAACATGAGTAACATGTCCATATCAACATGACATTAGTATCCTCTCTCTTCTGGAAAATCTTTTATTTTTTCCCCTTTAATCTTAAACGGACGATTTCTCTCTCGTTTTAAGTCGATATTTAATTTAATTTTTGCACAGATAAATGAGATTAAATGTGCTCTTTAAAATGATATCCACTTTGACATTTTTTTAGTACAAAAAATTGAATAATATTTTACCAGTCATTAACTCATTATCATATAGTATGCTCTTATTTAATACCATATGGTAAGAAAACATATCATGATTGTATGAACATACCAATATGGTAAGAAGGTTGAATACATGATAGTAGAAGTATACTAACTATCATTTACGACTTTCATCATTGTTTACTACAAGTTACCACACACATACCATAGTGGTAAAGTACAGTAATTCTTTATCCAGTATTTTTTTCACCCAGAAATTTATAGATCCAATAGATCATGATGAACTCGTTCCTTCTGAGCAAATATTTTCAAAAATGACTTAAAAATGAGAAAGTTACCATATGGTATGTAGTTGGTAAAAAAAAAAGTTTCTCGAAATATATTTAAAATTGATCTCATTTTGTAGAGCACAACGAACTCGTTCCATATGTGCAGAAAAAATTGAAATCCGAGTTAGAACAAAGAAGATTAGAGCCGATTAAGAAAAGTAAAAAAAATAAAATACCTTTAATTGACAACCCTTAAATTTGAATTTTCTGGATCCACTTAAATCTAAAGTTCCAGATTTAATTACTCATCCACACCCTATCCTAAGCCGGGCTGCAACACGTAGTTGATGTCTACCCCTGACCTACAAATTATTCTATTATTTACTTCTCCTCGTACATGTAAGTGGTGTTATTACCTTAATGCAGTCGCTATTTTCTCCAATAGATAGTCAACAGCATGGGTGTATTTAATCAGTGGTGGTTGGTAATTGATTGCAACAACATGGGTAATTGATTGCGACCATATGGGCTGACTTTTGAGGTTAAATGACCCGAGACTGGAAAATCAAATAATGTTCATAAAAGTAAGAAACTGATCGAATATTACTTAAGCTGGGCACTAATTGCTTTCAAATTTGTAAGCAGCATAATACTACCTATGCCATATATGAAGACCATGAATATTTGCTAGTTTAGTTTTTGCAGAGCCCTAAACTCGAATTCGGGTTTCAAAGAGTTCTCCTTTCATATTCATACAAATATCGATCATCACTTCAAATATATTGTAGACACAGTAATTAGTTAACTCTTTCTCATTATATGAATTAATCCATACACCTAAATATAAGGATTTTGAACCGGCAAATTAATTAGTAAATAAAAAAAAAACATGCAATAAGCACAAAACTGAAATGAAAACGAAATTCTTAATTAATTAATTAATTAAGATATGCTGATTAATCCACGCACCTATGACGCTTGAGCTCCCATCCTGCCAAATCAGCAACATCTTGCATTGACCTGATCCAGCTGTCGACTCTGTTGTAAGTATACTGGTCCTTGTGTTTGTCGAAGTCGCGCTTGAACGGACCAGACTGGTCTTGCACATCCTCCGGCGACACCAGGTAGAAAACCGGCAGCGGGAGGTGGGCCATCTTGTGGCGGCACCGCATGATGGTGACCAGCTCATCGAGACATGACGACGAGGAAGCGTAGTTGCTGGACAGAAGCACGACGGAGATCATCGAACCTTCAATCGCTTTGAGGAGTTCCTCGGTGATGTTGGCGCCGCGAGGCATGTCCTTGTCGTCACGGTACGCCCTCACGCCACTCCGTCTCAGCGCCGAGTAGAGGTGGTCGGAGAAGGCGTGGCGAACGTCGAGCCCCCGGAAGTTGAGAAAGGCATGGTGGCGCCACGGGGGCGGCGGCGGGGGTAGTTGTGGCACCGCCGGGGACAGATACGTGATGCTCAAGCCCCACAGGGCGAGGGTTATAAAATAGATCACTGCCACCACTATTCTACGAGGAGTCATAGTACTACTACTAATACTACTAGAGCCCTTTGAGAACTGGCCGGAGCTTTTCATTTGATGCGAATATGATGAGGCTGGCAGCAGAGAAAGCTCGAGTTTTTCCATTGATTGGGAATATTGGGTATGGCTACCTAGAGGCTAGAGCTCGATCAATGTTCAACAAATGAATCAGTAGATTTATATATGAAGAAGCGTTCGTGGGGAAGGACTCCTGCAACCAACTACCACGAATTTTCTTGTACGCAGGAATCATTATTATTTAACAATGATTTTCATCGACACCAAACGGCGCTGAGTCGCTGACCCAGTCCACGCCTCACAATTCTACCATGGCTCTCCTTTTAGGCTAAACAAGTTTTTTAACAAATTAACACTTGCAAAAAACTATAAACGAAAACCTAGCGAACAATATCTAAACACAAAGGTGGTAGAATGGAGAGTGAGGTAAAAGAATGACTTAGAACTTCCCCATTTGCACTTGAAGGTGTGCAAGAGCCTTTAATGAATAGTAACTCTCATGATAGGCTTTTATATATTATTAATTAATTACCGTTTTTCTCTTTCGATTTATCATTTTCTTTTATGTTTGACACTTGGAAATTGTTATTGCATTAGTGCTCATATGATTTAAACCTCATTATATCTTTAGTCACTGACTGCCCTATTATGTCTATCAACTAGAATATTTGACTCTTGAATGATTATATTGACTTATCAATTGAAACATAAATAAAATTAAAGTTAAAATTATATTTTTCGATATTTTGGCCTTCCATCGCTCTCTTCTACACCCTTCCAAGTCCTAAATCCTCATCTTCATCGTCGTTACCATCCATCTTGTCTTCCTCACTTCCTCCCCCAAATCCCAAATCTCTAACATTGCCCAACCTCTATCCAACTCTAAGGCAAACAAATCGTCCAATTCAAAGCTCCTCCTCTTTCCACCAAGCCTGACGACGATCCACTATAGATATATGAATGAGTTAAATCTACTTGGTATGTAATTAAGATCGTATTCGCTCACAACCTTTCAAATTCCAGTATATTCAGGCGGTGAGAAATTTGTTCTTTGATTGAAAACCGAATGAAGTTGAGATGTGCAATCAAAGAAATTTGTTATTTGATTGCACAGTAATTACTAGAAATTATGTCTCTTTAGGATATAATCTATATTTTACTCCATTTAATCATACAACAGGACAGACCATTTTACACTGTTGCTCTATAAGATGTAAAGATTTCTACCCACAATAGCTTACAACCCAAAACCACTATTGTGTCATAAACTTGCGCAAACACACTGGAACCATTTTTATGTATCTACACAACACTGACTTTCTAATGCATATGCAAGATGCTTCAGAAGAGATAGAGTAGAAGTCCCAGCTGTTGACCTATATATCACCCATCAAAGTTTTCTCAACTCCAAGATGACGGGTGCAAAACCCCTTTTTCACCATGGAAAAAATTGAGCATTTGATGACTCACAATCTCATTAAGCAGAATCATCAATAATCAAGAAAACAATATCGGGAGCATTTGAGCCAAAAGTCTAGAGAGCGCCATCGTAGATGTATTTTCTCCCTAAGTTCATAGTGCCACAATATCTGGAGCTAATGGCCTCCTCACTATATACCGAAAGGCTTCTAGCCCTCCTCATTTTATAACGAAAGGCTTATTACCTTCCTCACATAATATCGAAAGGCTTCTTTGTCTTCCTCACCATAATCTTATTCTTAGTCAATATTATGGGTCAATAACATCAAATAAATCATATTCAACCCTATACATTTTGGCCGCTAAAAACTACTACTCCTTACACTGTGTAAGTACTACTGCTTCGATTGAGTTTATTATCTAGCAGATCAAATTCAGGTTAAACAACTAATAACTACTCTATCAAACTGCGAAAAAGATTAACCTAACTAATTTCAATGTAGGAGGCTCATTCAGGTAACGATTCCTCTAGACACTAGCCGAATTAAGGATTCTCAAACTTATTTTGTTCTTTATTTATTAAGCGCATTGATGCGATTGTAGTATATCACAAAGTAATAAATTCTAGAAATGCCTAGGGTCATATTCCACGATTATTTTGATATCAAATACTTCAAAACTAATCACTTGTGCTTGAAATACGATGGGTTGATGTTCTCGAATATTGGACGAATCCCTAAACAAATTAAAATAACAAAAACAAGTACATGAAATAATTATTAAAACAAGTAATTAAGACTATTATTTAGGTAGCTTCGTGCCTTCATCTAGATGAACATGCATACTAACTCATTAGTGACATGTATTCATGCATTTTGTCTAATATGATGCACTATCCCTTCCACTAATGCATTTCTAATAAAGTTTTTGCTACATGCAAAAGGAACTACAACTATTAATGTGTGCTTCCGCTTCATGCCACTAGCTATTCAATAAAAAACAAGTAAAGATAGCACATTGCTATTTAGGGCCTCTATGAACACATAGCATTGGCTCAAGGCTTGGTGACTTAAGCTATCAAGCATTCATCATATACAAGCATAAAAGGTTACGCGTTCAATCAATACATGCATGAGACAATAGCACACCATCTAAGATGAGTTTTCTAGCAACTTATGATGGCATTATAAGCACAACCAGGATAGCACATAATGAAATAACATAAGCATCTCATTAAATCATTGAAAGTGGTGCATGAAGCATGATATAATTCACATTCCTAGAGAGAGAGAGATTATCACCAATGATGATCAAGGCATCTCCAAAGAACTCCTATAGGGATTCTACATGTAGACTCCAACAGAACTCCGACAGGGGCTTCTTCTCCATGATGGATGCTAACAGGATCGAGCTGATGAAAACCTTTCTTTCTGGGAAAGGCCAACTTTGAATGAAGTTCCGTTAAACCCCACCTAGTTGAGGTGATAGCCGCAAACCTTCAACTCGTCCTTATGAGGTTGCTGTGTTTGTATTGTTGATTCTAAAACCTTCAACTCCTTATGAAGGGTATTTTGGAGTTTTCCCTTCATAAACTCAACCAAAAGCTTTCATGTTTGACTTGAACTCGGGTTTCTTGACTTGGAGGACAAACAAAGAAGCTTCTAGAATATCTGAGAACCCTAAAACAGGCGGTAGCCACATAGTGCTCAGACCCGCCTTGATGGAGTGCATTTTGTATATATACTTTTCTTCATTTTCCTCAATAAAATGTATAAGTTTGCTGCCTATTTGAGTGCACATTGCAAACTATAACATGTTCTTAGCTATCAGAGCACTCTTGCAAACTATAACAGGTTATTGTGTGATTAAGAGTGAGAGATCTGCAGAAAGGATATTTGGGAAACATGAGGGATTTGTGAGTTCAAATAAAATAAAGGGTGTGAGATTTCCAGAATGTTGTTAGATAACAAATATGTGATCAGAGATGAGTGATTACAGTGGGTTAGCACAAATTATTAAACCAAAGTTTGATGGGGACTATGAGCATTGGAGTCTCCTGGTGGAAACCTACTCAGATCCAAAGAATACTGGAGTGTGGTGACTTATGGCATTCAAGAGCCAACTTCAGGTGTAGCCTTTGTTGTATGTTCTATTGAAGAGTAAAAGGATACTGAATCCTTGTTTGTAGATGCAATTCGGAGCTTTCTGTTAGTGCATGAGCAAAAGTTTACCAAAATGGCAGTTGGTGATCAAGAAGATCAGGTTTTGAAGATGTCACATGAATATGAAGAAAGAGGTGGTAGAGGTCATGGCAGAGGGGGGAGGACACTACCAAGGAAGAGGAAGGGGAAGGTGAGGAAGAGGCTGGAGCAAGGACACACTTGAATGCTACAAGTGCCCCAAGCTTGGACATTTCAAATATGAATATTCGAATTGGTATGAGAATTATCAAGCTCATTATTCAACTTCTTTCATTACTCAAGATAGATCTAATGGTGATAGGAAATATGATGGTCTATTAGAGGTCTTGTTGAACATAAACCATCAATAGAAGTTGAGGATGCAGATCCTAATAATGAAAGAAAAGGCCTGATGACATACCAGAAAGATGTCAAAACTAAGCAGAGTGGAGGATGGTGGTTCCTTGATCCACGATGTAGTAATCACATAAGTGGGGAGAGAAACTGGTTCACAGAAATTTACACCAACTTTCACTGCAAGGTGAGAATGTAAAATGACTTCCAACTAGAAGTAGCTGGAAAAGAAGTAGTGAAACTTCCCACTAATCAAGCATCCTAAACAATCCAAGAAGTATTAATGTACCTAGATTGATGACCAACCTGCTGAGTGTAGGCTAGTTGCGAAAAAAGAGGATTGGTTTTTCTCATCAAGAATGGTTGATGTAAGATATTTATGAAGACAAAGAGCTCCTTCTATAGACACAAATGAAAACAAAACGAATGTTTTTCCTTCATGCTAAGCAGAAAAGCACAAGCAACAAGCTTCCGTATCTGCAGGCTAAAAATGTTTACGAAAACACCTTGAAACTTTGGCATCACTAGTTGGACATATGAACCTTCAATCTCTACAAAATTTTCAAAAAAAGTAACCGGTGCAGAATATTGCCACAGCTGAAAGGAGAAGTGGGGGTTTGCTCCACCTGCTTAGTTGGAAAACAACATAGACAGCCTGTTCCCAAGAAAAGAAACTGCAGGGCAACTCAAGAACTCCAACTTTTGCATGTAGATTTTTGTGGGCCAATAAATACAGTATCTAATAGAGGAAAAGGGTATATCTTGATACTTAATGATGACTATAGTGAAAACTGAGTATATTTTCAAGTATCCAAGTTTGAAATAAAATATAAGTGGAGAAAGAATCTAGAATGTCTATCAAGTGACTTAGCACATTTAGAACTAATACGCACATGAAGTCAAGTTTCAATTCTTGGGGGTTGGTCACTGACTTTGCAAGTAATGGTTAATTACTAATCAACTTATTATCACTACTCGTTAGCGAATAAAACTAATATGCACATGATATGGTGACATGGAAGAATTATGTGTTCTCATTCCATAAAGAGATTTACCATGCGCAGTAACTTTCTATTACCCCTAACCAACCACTGCACAAGTAACACTCGTTACTAATAAATTTAAGTAGCTAAATTAGTATAGCCAATATTCACACTACCTCACGGGGAAACTTAATG